AGAAGCACAAAGCTCAGCTGTCTCATGAGGATCTCCAGGCAAAGGCCACCAGGGCTGTAGGTCAGGTGCTACTTAGCAGTGCTGGAGTTTGGGAAAGGAACAGCAGCTCCCCTGAGATGCCCAGCAGCCTGGCCAGTCAAACGGATCTGGACTCTATGTTAGAGGCAATGACTAAGGCAGGGTTCCCAACTGATCTGATTGAACACAACCTAGTCGCCACATCTAGAGATATTGTGAGCACTATTGAAAGCAACATGGACATGTTGTCATCAGCCAGCCACTCTTCAAAAAAGAAGGAAACTGAAGACTCTGGACCCATCATGAGCTACATGATCCATAGAATTAAGGAGAGACTGAAGATATTCTTTAGAGTAACAAAGCAACTTGTGAAGGAAAGAAGATCAGCTGAACCTTCATCAAATGTGTCACAGGACTCAGAGACTTTGATGGCCAAATCTGTCCACAGAGCCAAATCACAGGCACCATCAGTGAACAATGATTTTCAGACAGATGATCCCACAGTGAGCTGCACAGATGAGGAGGTTGGTACTGAGTCTCTTTTCAGGACATGCTGTCAGAGCCAGACAGTTTTATCAACACAGAGTGTTCCCACCTCTGATGTGCAGCTCTCTAGAGTCCACAGTGTTTCCCAGTTAGATGATCTCACTGTAACATGCACAAATAGCATTATTAGTGAGATTGTCCACCTTTATCGCTCAGAAGTGTCTTCTGAGTGTCCAACATCAGTGGCAGATAAAGATTCAGTGGAAATACGTGACATATTTCAGGGTTTGGGAGAACTTGTCAGGACTAGCAGATCTACTTCCAAGACTAGTTCATCAAATAAATATTTAGGAGAGTGTGAGGATATTTCACTCCCTAAACTAGACGTTTCTAAAGTAGATCCTGATCAAACTTCATCACATTGTTCTCTCAAGAGCCTGCTCAGTGCTCAGTTCCAGAGTCAGGCAATACAGACTGTTTGTGACGTTCTTCTGAAAACAGGAGAAAAACTTTCCATCTCAGGGTCCACACAGTCCTCTTCCAGCCCAACTGTATTCCTGCCACCTGCTGCTGCCTCTTCCTTCTACACTGAAGCTCAGTCTACAGCATCAGACATTGTCACAAGCTTTTTGAAGAAGCTGGGGAAATGTTTTTTCTCAGCCCCATCAGACAACGCTGGCACTTCAACTAAACCAGCTCCAAAAATCTGACAAAAGTGTGATTTCAGTACAAGATCAGCCTAAAACACGAGCAAAGCTGGAAAGTGTGACTCCCATTGGCCTAATATCTGCTGGACCAGAGAGATCCACTGACCGTGAGGTTGGTGCCATTTTTGAGGAGCCTGATTCTGCTGCTGAAATTGTAGCAGCCACTCAGCTTCAGTCTCTCCAACGGCCAGCCTCTGAAATGAACCAACCGGACCCTCTGATTTCTGATGAGACTCTGCAAAGTCACACAGACAGATTAACAAATTTGACGACAGACATTCTTATAAATACAGCAGATCCATCACATGTTTGGAAGCATTCCTCAGACTCAGTTCTGGAAACATCCTGGGTGAGGAGCTCTCTGCTGAGAGACCCTATCCAGGTTCCTTCATCGCTGGTCTATGTCTTTGTAGACGATTCAGTGAAAAGTTTGCTCCTGCACTTGCTAAGACTAAACCCAGCATTTTCACATGCAGCTGATCAATCAGCTTCATTTACTTTCTCTGATCGACACCTGCAAAGAAGCAGTGCAGGTTTTGAAGGCCAGAACTCAGAGAAGTCAACTGGCTTCACTGAAGCACAAAACCATTTCACTGAGGCTCTTACAGACTCACAGAGCAAGATGGAGAATCCTCTGTCATTGCTCGTAAAGTCTGAGCACTCTGAGAGGAATCGTGATGTCTCTGTATTGGATGTCAAGTCAGTTTGTGAATCACCCACAACTTCAAGCACTGCTGGCACTGCAATGGGTAGAGAAACATTGGAGAACCTCAGCATCTCCAGCCAGCAGTATGAGATCTACTCTTCCAGCTGCAGCCCAGTAAGTGAGAGCAGTCCCTATTATCCAAACCCTTTGGATATGAAAAAGAGGCGTGTATTTCGTTTTATTGTGGGTAAATTAGCTCCTCTCTTCAGCATCAGACTAAAGGTATGAATGACTTTTTATATATTAATCATTTAATGATAATAAACACACCAATCATATGACTGTCTATATTTGAAAGTACTGTGTTAAATATAAGACTTTTCTCTGAAACTTCAACATTTTGTTTGTTCATCCAGAAATCAAGTAAAGTGTGTCCTGCTGGCCTGGTGTCTGACAGCCATCAGTCTCCCTCCACCTCTGGAAATCTTCAGAAGTGTAAGTACATGAAACAATACACACAAATTCACTAATTCACAGTGAACAGTATTTCATAAGCTGTGTCTCTCAATGTTGCTCTTTTATTCTTCTAACTGGAATGTAGAGTGTAATAGAATTAACTGGACATTTACATAAGAAAACAGTTTAGTCAGTTGATGTGATTCTGATTCATCTTATCTTTTGCAGCTTCACAGAGAGAATCAAAGGTTTTGATGACACCATTTAAGAAAACCAGCAATCGTCTGTCCAGGATTTTCTCGGCTGTCCGCAGAGCACTGCCCAACCCCTTCCAGTGCCTGACTCCACCATCTTGAGCACTACTTTGCAAGCTTTTCGGTAACGATTCCTATGAGTCCTATTCATAATGTACTGTAAATGCATTTATACTGTGTTGTAAGGCCTACATAACACCTTATAATACCACACAAATATTATAGTTAATTAAATAGTTATAATACACAAATAACACTTTATAAAGGTAGAGTGTGTAACTTTAAACATTTAGGATTCATAATGCATTTCAGAATCTCTTCCAAAGAACATTGTATACACTTATGTTGTAATGTGCTATAACACTTTATAGACCTGTATGTCGGGATATTACAGGCTTTAAGTGATGGAAGTTTTTTTTAAATGCCAGTGCAGGAATTGTTTAAGGCTTTTATTAACAAAGTTAGCTTAAAGCCATTGCTAAAGTTTGCAATAATACTAAACAAGTCAGCTGTCATTTACTGATTGTCTCTACTGGCTAACATAACGTTCTCTGAGCTGCTACTGTTTTAGCCTTAAATGCTAACAGTCTAGCACCTGTAGCCAGCTAGCCTGACATCACAGTTTCCAATTAAATATGAAATATTTATGAAGTCTATGAAATAAGTGAAATTTGGGTGGAGGACCGTGCCTGAAACCCCTCCTCCTTCCAGTCTAACACTCTATAAATTTCTGTCCCTACTTTCCGTTTCTGGTGACGAAGCTTTCACAGTCTTTACAATCTGGTGTCGACCTGAGGAGGATGGGTTCCCCTGTTGAGTCCTGGTTCCTCTCAAGGTTTCTTCCTCACGCCAGGGAGTTTTTCCTTGCCGCCGTTGCCCTCGGCCTGATCATCAGGGCTTCAGACCCAGATGTCTGTTTGAACAGCTCACAACCACGTCACCATCAAGCTGTTAAACCAAATCAAAAATTCATCTCCTCCATCTTTCCTCTCATCTTACAGCCTTAATAGCAACACACTGCTTAACACTGATCACCTCATTAAGGGCCAATTTAAGTATGTCCAGCACTATGAGGTTATGTAGCCATAAAACACCTTATAAATGCATTTATAATGCACTATGTGTTCAGGATTCATAGGAGAGCTAAAATAAATGCATCCGCAAGAAAAGTCCTGTGTGTCTTTGTTTATTTATTTTTACATATTCACTCTTATTATGAAAGTATTAATGAAAAATAGAAAATAAAACTATCAAAAATCATATGGTGCCATTCCTGTTTTGATAAATTGCCCCAAGCCCCTTTTAGTATGGATGTGTGTAATTTTCTGGTATAACTTTGAGCTGTAAACATTGGAGAGTTTCTCACCTATTTTACTTTTAACTTTTCACTTTTAACTGTATGCTGTGATGAAAAATAGCCTTTTGAAAAAAATGTAAACATGATTTTATCTGTCCAGTAATAATATGTTGGTTTTATAGACACTTTTGTGGATGATCAAAAACAGTACAGAAGTCCTTCAAAAAACGCTCATATGACATGTTTTATTTCCTCCAGCCAGATAACAGTAGCCAGTCCAGTGCTTTATCTGCCAGTTGAGAAACTAAAAAAGAAATCTTAGCCTGATCTGAGCTTGAAGGTGAATTGTTAAAGAAATGAGTAAATTTGTCAGGTGTAGTAATGGGAAAGGTCAAACTGGGTACTTCCATAGACGTGGGGATATTAACAGCATTATCGCTGTTAGTAGCCACACCTAAAGTTTGTACCTGCAAAATCAAATCCTTGACATTGGAGACTAATTGGACCAGCTGTGTTTGTTGGTCTGTTTGTTGTTGTGACAGATCCTTAAGAGAGAGAGTAACAGGACAGAACCAGACAGACGCTTGCAGGTAAAACCAAGAAATGAGGATTTACTTGTTAGACTGTTATCAATAATCGTAGTCAGGAAACAGGTAGGGATCAAATTTCAGAAAGGGCAAAATAGAAAAGAGGACAAACATAAAGAAGAGATCAGGCAAAAAGTCCAAAAACACGGTCAAAATACACAAGAAGGCAAATTCACAAACGTAAACACTCAGCAGCTCTACTAGGGGAACCAATACCTCACAAAGTCCAAATCTAAAACCCAGGCTTATAAAGTAACTGAGTCTAATCACATGGAAATTTAGAAAGGTGATACAGATCAGTACAGCATAGCTTTTTTACCTGCTGAGAAATGCACCCCATCTTAAATCTGGCTACATTGGTGTTACATCCTTAAAATTACACAGGTAGCGGATATTGGTCCCAAAAACAAGCTGTAAACGCACCCCTCCTAAAGACCACTGTAAAAGAAGTATCTCCTTCACAGTTCCTGATGTTCAGGTCAAAGTAAGTAAAAGATGGACTAACTGCCCTTGAAACGGAAGACATAAATGCGCACGCTCCTGAGAGAGACAAAGGGACGGAGCACGGCACAATGCCAGTGATGCATGCACTCGTGATCGGCGCCCAGGGGACGGGTGTCTGCCACAACCGGGTAATCTCCACAATCTAGAACCTTAAACAGAAGAAGAGGACTTATCAACACGGTGCAGAAGTAAAGAGAGCAGCCATGAAAAGCAGCTTCACTCTCCTCTTTCTCTTCCAGCTCCTTCATCAAACGCATAGCAGCCTTTTACTTTCATTTTCAGAATCTGACAGGCAAACTGTGAACATGTCGCCGTTGAAACAACGTTTCAAATCACGTATCTGACTGCCGTTTACACTACGCTTTATTAAGGTTGAAAATGAAAGTTGAAAAGACGTAAATTAAAGCTGCTTTGTTGTTGATAGAAATGCACAGGGGTTTATTTAGTCTATATAACTACAATAAAGAACTGAAACTACTACCTCAGCCCTCAAAGCGGATCACATGAGCGTGCGCGCTCCCGAGACTCGGACAAGCACACTTAAGACATTCTCTCAATATCGGAAAAACAGCACGAGCAGACGAGACACCAGAACTGTGCAGATGTAAAGAGAGTGGCTATGAAAATCAGACTCATTTTCTTTGTTCTACACCTCCTTCGTCGAGTGTATAGCGGCTCATACGAAGGTAGGATTTACTTCCAGTTTTATTTTAATCCTGTGTGGACTAAGCAGTGTTCTCATAATGTTAAGGTTGAAAATGAAAGTTGAAAAGACGCCCAAAAAGTCACAGTAAAAACATCATTTTAAGGTGCTCTAAGGCCTTAGGAAAAAAAATATAAAAAAAATGAAATAAATTGAAATATACTACCAGAGTCACCTAGCAGACATAGTTTCTGGGTTAAAAGGCATTGAAAAGTCATCAAAAATTAATTTCCACTAGTACACTTTAAAAAAGGAATAGTAGCACTTTAAAAAGGAATAGTTCTATTTAGAACCATGAATCCTATATAGAACCATTTCATGCTTAATACACTGTAACGATAGAAGAACCTTTTTTGATGCTATATAGAATCAATTTTTCTATATAGAACCATATACAACACATTCTCTGTCAATCCGAAGAACCTTTTCACCATGCAAAGAATCTTCCTGTAGTTAACTGACAATTTTGATTCCAATGTAAACATAAAACAAAACAAACTTTGTTAAATGGAAACTTTTTTGAAAACGTGCAGTTATTCTTAATTTCATTTGTGGAACATAAAACTGGACCATGAACTACATCAGGACTATGACAAAGGTCATGTCCTATGCATCAATTCAGAAAGAATTTCGTTTTTGATTTACAACGTTTTAATGTAAAGGAAATCAAGGTAATTATATAACAAGACAAAATCATGTTCATTTCAGTTTCTGAGAAGTCAAACAAGAAAAGAAAAAAACAAAAACAAAGTTAAAAGCTCTGCAGGGGGCATGCTTGAGGTGATCGGCCATGGCAGCATCCATCTCATGAGCTGTGGCATTATAATAAAGACATTCTTTACCCCTGCTTTCCATTGTGCTATGCTGGGGGGCTGTGGCTTTAACCAGGAAGTGGTTATCATTTTCTTTGCTAGTAAAAGTAAAGTTCTTACTAAGTACGTTAAGTCTCCATCTGTTATATTATCAGGGAGTATACCCAACATACAAAGTGCTGGATCTAAAGTAAGAGTAATCCCTAGAATCTTTTTGATCTCATTTTGAACAAAATTCTCTTCCAAAATTCTACAAGTTTTGGGCAATCCCAAAATATATGTGTGAAATCCCCCACCAGTCCACAATCTCTCCAGCACAGCTCAGATGTATTGCTGTATTTTGAAGGTGTTAAAATATCTCACCTTTATTTTCCAGTCAAATTCCCTCCATGTTGGGCTACTAGTTAATTTATGCCCTGCTTTGAACGTTTCCTCCCACCTTTCATCTGTTATTATAATGTTTGCTTCCAACTCCCATTTTTCTTTGACCTCCATGTTGTTATCCTTAGATTCATGTTGTAATGCTTTATACATTTTTATATAATCCCTTTTTTGTCTTACTCTCTGTAAATGACATTAATAGTTCCTCTAGTTTGGATGGTGCTTTGTAAATATTCTCCCATTCCTTATGTTTGTGGATGTCTTAGTTGTTAGAATTTATAAAAATCATGGGCTGAAAGATTAAACTCCTGTGTAAGTTGTTCATATGACTTCATGGTTTGTCCATTGAACAACGGTGCAATGTATATTAAACCCTTGTTTGACCATTTATTATATCCTGCATCCATAATAGATGGTAAAAATCTGGATTCTACAGATGGAGTTTGAGAGATTGAACTTCTTTCGTACCATTGACCATATTCTCATTGTAATCCACTTATTACCGATTTTGAGTTTCCTCTGTGCCTTTTCTGTCAAAAATGTGAGTGATTCCAACTGTACATTCTGACATGATCTTTGCTCCATTCCTACCCATACTGCATCTGTCTCTTTAGTTAGCCACATAATTATAGCTCTTAGATTTGCTGCCCAATAGTAATTTTTCAGATTATGTAATCTTAGCCCTCCCCTCTCTTTCAGGCAAGGAAGTGTCTTATATTTAATTCTAGCTTTCTTCTTTTGCCATAGGAATTGTGATATTATTTTGTCTAATATTTTGAAAGTACAGCTAGGAATCCCAATAGGTAGTGATTGGAACAAAATAATAATCTTGGTAATACATTCATTTTTATTGTTCCTATTAACATCATAGGTAAAATCTCCCATCTAGTCAAATCCTTCTTTATCTCAGTTATCAGTTTCCCATAATTCACTTCAAATAGCTTTGATGTTACAGGCGTAATGATGATGCCCAGGTATCTAAATCCTTTATTAGTCCACTTAAAGTGAACTTTTCCCTCTAGTTCTGCTGGACAATTGCCTGAGAGCATCATCGCTACTGATTTAGCTTCATTGGTCACATATCCCAATATTTCTCCATATTCCTTCAAGTTGTCTAACAGGGCTGGGACAGATGATGACGGTTCGCTTATGTATGTTAATATGTCATCTGCGAATAAAGATAATTATGTTCTTTGTCTTTTATTCCCTTTATGTCTTTATTTAATCTTATTGACTCGGCCAACGGTTTAATACTTACAGCAAATAGTAACGGGCTCAAACAATCTCCCTGTCTGACTCCTCTTTTGAGGTAGAAAAAATCTGAGCAGCAACCGTTAACTCTGATCCACGACTTTGGGTTTTTATGTATTATTGTCACCCAGTCTATGAAGGTTGGATGAAATCCAATCCTTAAGGCCTAGTTCTTTCTACTTTGGATTTTTTTGTAGTTGGTCCCTGTTCTGGTGGCAGCCTGTCTAATTTACCATTCAATAACAAACAATAAGCACATGCTTGAGAACTAATATACAATAACAAAACAATGTGACTCCCGAAAGTCCCAAGGCCAGAGAGATGTGGCGAGTTCTCTCTGGGGAAGTAGTGCTATTTGCAACTGCAACTTCTCGGCTGTTATGTAAAGTTGCCACTTACTCTAACTGAGTATCTATCTCACTCCATGTAACCAATATTTCTGTTGAATTATACAAGTAGTGTTCCTCAAACCAGCCCTGTTTATCCTCAATGTGTACTATATTAGGCAGATACTGATTGTCCAAGTACGTTTCAGGACCCTCATTTATTCGTCTGTTTATTTATTCAAATCCTTTCTCTGATCCTTACCATAATACCCATGAAAATAGTTCACTCGATGGAGTCTTGTAAGTCCACCTCTGTGGTGTGTGGCTGTTTCTTCCTGCCTTTCTGCCCTGTCACCATGGTCCAACTGCCTTGTGCCATATCCTTCTGTAGTGTTTCTGTCTTGTCCTCCTCAACATAGATCCCCATGTCCCTCAGCATGGGAGCAGCCTCCAATAGTGTAGTGAAAGTTTTAGTCCATGATTCCAGAAACACCTTCAGCTATGCAGGATATGGAGACTGTGCTTTCACGTTCTTCTCCTTTAGTTTTTTTTATTACGGCACCTGCTTTCTCTTTTTCTGTACTTCAGTTGTGTAGTCTTGATTGAGGTAGATGCTCTGTCCCTCATATACTATCTTTTGTTTCCACGCTTGCTGTATCACGCAATCTTTCACCCGACAATCTAAAAAATGGACAATGGTTGCTCGAGGAGGGGCAGTATTCTCTTTCGGTTTGGGAACCAGTGAGTGGTGTGCTCTTTCAATGCGGATATCCATGTCGTCTGAGATTTGCAACCAGTCACAAACCGTTTTTCTCATCCCTCCGGGATGCCATGTATCCGTATGCTGTTACGACTCAACCTTGACTCTCGTTGCACTTTGCGGCTAACTTTGCCTCTTGGTGAAGCAGAAAGGCGGCTGATTCTTCCAGCCTAACACTCCAGTCTTCCGCGATTCCCAGCCTTTCCTCCATGTTTACTGTTCGTTGCTCTAACGAGACGGTTCTTTCAAAAAGTTCCTTCAAATTAGTCTCTAGTCTTGCCAGGGCCTTCTTGTTGTCATTAACTGCTTATGTATGTTCTTGCCTTAACTTGCGTAGCTCCGCCAGTATTACCGTATCCTCGCTGCCAGCATGTGTCTTCCCCAGCGTTGTTTCTTTCTCTGCGTCGGTACATCCTTCATTCGACTTGTCTTTTTAGTTAGTTCTCCCTTTTCTCTCCATGTCTCTTTTTTTTACACTTTCTTTCTCGAGTTTGTCTCTCTTTTCTGTCGTTAATGTTGTTTTAATGGGCTAGTTTTAACTGGTTTTTGTAAGAGCTAATTTTCACCCTGCTTCCTGCAACATGGCGCCACCGGAAGTCCATTTTTAGTTATTTTTAAATGTTTATTTCAGTGGGCACTGGGTCTAAACAACTGTGAAGTAGTTCTATCATGACATGTTCTTTTCAATGCAAAGGGCTTGAGCTTGTCTCTAGTTTTATATGCTGTCTCTGAATTTAATATATTCTCCTAAGACCCATGAGATTTCTAAACTCTATTCTAGACTGCTGGGAACTGAAAAGCCTCTCTCTTTTTTTGGTCAGTGTTTATCTGTTAAAAGAATAAAGCACAGTCCAAAGAAGGAACCGGGTAGTAGATAATGCAGCTATATAACATAGGAAGCATCACAGAGAAGCTCAGTATTATTATTTGACTTTTTGCCTTACAAATTCCAAAATCAAATTTGACTGAAATGACTACTACAATTAATGATTCTTTAGTTTAGTACTGACGTTATGTGTAACGTTGCTCAGACACTAGAAGACAATATTAACCCAGATGTTTTTCCATAAATACATCCCTAAAACTTCTCTCAACCCTCTCAAACCGCATCTAGGTCTCCATTAAAGTCAGCACACTTGTCAGTGTAGTGTAGGACACCGAATGACTTAATTTGAGCTACAGAAATGAACAAAACTTCACCACTACGGACATTTCAGGCAACACCAAGGCTGCACAGGACTGATCTTGGATCAGTAATTATGACTGTCAATTCCATTAAAATGATTCTAGATCAGCAATCCTACTCCTGAGACAGAGAGGTCACCTACAGCATTCACTCTGTGATGACATTTTGTTCACTTTTATAGCCCATGGTATGTCATACTGTGTTCTTAACTACATTGAGAAGTCTGTGCCACCTTAATGAAGACACAGATCAAGTCGAGTCAAGTCAAGTCAGCTTTATTTTCAATACTACAGTATGTACAGGACATACAGAGTATTGAAATTGAGTTACTCTCAGACCCCCATGGTGTAGCAATAACATTAAATAGACGGTAAACAGGAAAAGTGTGAATTTAAATAGACACTAAAAAAAACACTCAACACTAATCATACAAAAATAAACACTAATTGTAGAAATATAAAATAATAATAAAAAAATATATAAATATAAGAAGGTCCTGAAATTAACACCAAAGTGACATAAGGCACAATATGATTTGGTTTGAGAGGGTTAAAAGATGTTTTCAGGAAGTATTTACAGAAATGATTTAGATGAATATTGACTTCTAGTGTTTGTTAGAAATGTTAGCTTCACAGCTTCATTGCTAAAGTAAAGACACAACATTTGGACACCAATTATGTCTTGGCTAAATGACTACATCGGGGGTAAGTAGAAAATGGTTTAAATTTTACAACCCCAATTCCAAAAAAGTTGGATGGAAAAGTAAGTGGTACTAATAAAAATACAGCTGGAAGAGCAATTTGCAACTAACTCACATGACTGGGTATAAAAAGAACATTTTAGAGAGGCAGAGTCTCTCAGAAGCAAAGATGGGCAGAGGTTCACCAAACTGCGAAAAACTGCCTCTAAAGGTTTCAGAAAAATGTTCCTCAATGTAAAATTGCGAAGACTGGATATCCCACCATCTACAGTACATAATATCATCAAAAGATTCAGAGAATCTGGAGAAATCCCTGTAAACAAGGGACAAGGCCAACGATCAATTCTGGATGCTCGTGATCGTCGGGCCCTCAGGCGGCACTGCATTGAAAACAGGCATGATTCTGTACTGGAAATCCCTGCATGGGCTCAGGAACACTTGCAGAAATCATTGTCTGTGGACACAGTTCGCCGTGCAATCCACAAATGCAAGTAAAAGCTGTAACATGCAAAGAAGAAACCGTATATAAACAGGATCCAGAAACACCTCCAACTTCTCTGGGCCCAAGCTCATTTAAAATGGACAGAGGCAAAGTGGAAAAGTGTCCTGTGGTCAGATGAATCAAAATTTGAAATTCTTTTTGGAAATAATGGACACTGCATCCTCCAGAGTAAAGACCTCACAGCTTGTTATTAGCTCACAGTTCAAAAGCCAGCATCCATGATGGTATGGGGGAGCATAAGTGCACATGGCATAGGTGTCTTGCACATCTGTGAAGGCACCATTAATGCTGAACGAAATATACAGCTTTTGGCAACATATGCTTCCATCCAGACAGCAGTCTTTCAGGGAAGGCCTTGCATATTTCAGCAAGACAATGCTACACCACATACTGCGTCCATCACAGCAGCATGGCTTCACAGAAGAAGAGTCTGGGTACTGAACTGGCCTGCCTGCAGTCCAGACCTTTCAGCAATAGAAAACATCTGGAAAACATCTGTCATGAAACGAAAAATCCAGCAAAGAAGACCCAGGACTGATGATCAGACAAGAATGGGACAATGTTCCTCTCTCGAAATTCCAGCAATTGGTCTCCTCACTTCCCAGACGTTTACAGATGGTTGTTAAAAGAAGAGGGGATGCTACACAATGGTAGACACGGCCCTGTCCCAATTTTTTGAGATGTGTTGCTGCCATCATTTTCTAAAAGAGTTCATGTTTTTCATGAAATGACAAATTTTTAAATCTAAGCTAATGACATGCACCACCGACAGCTAGCTATGTTTCACCTAGTTAGCACGACTGTTCTAGCACTAGCTAACCTTAGCAAGACAGCTTCAGCAGTTGTATAAGATACTACCTAGCTAGGTTAGCTCACTTATACCCTCTATTCATAAACAAATCATAATACTAATATTTACAGATTTGTTGTAAGCTTACTGACTCGTATATGGCAAAAGGTGGTCTACCTAAAATGGCCAGCTAACGTTTACTCACCTGGATCAATGCCGACAATAACGCTGTATGCTGTGGGTGGCTCACTGAAGACTATTAACAGGTCACGAATTAACTGACTTTTTAAAACGGATTTTGGACGTCTATGAACGTTATTAATAGGTCACCAATGAACTAACTTTTAAAACTGATTTTGGATGTCCATTGACGCTCATAACATGTCCCTGACTGACTGACTATTTTTAAACACACTTTGGACGTCCACCGACATTCTATAAGTTACATCTGATAATATATAATAAGTAAACCTAAGGACTTTAGCACTTACTGAATAACACATATGGACGGAGATTAAGATGGAGATTAAGCCTAAACCTAGATAGAAATATTTTTCTGGTGAATCATAATTGACATTGCAACTTAATACAAAACTAGACTTAATGAATGAGCAAAAAAGTCCCATAACATCTTAAAACAGCCCCTTTGGTTTTTCTTCATAACCTGAGATTGATTTGATTCCAGATGTAATATAGACAATAAAAATAAAAGACTCTGTACTATCTGTAACAGGATTTTTAAATCTGGATTAAAAATTTCAAATTCAAGCCATTGTGTGAAAATGGAACAACAGAGTAAATGTGTAAGGAATAAACATGAATATTTATTAACGCAAATTCTTTGTTTATGTGTGTGTGTGTGTGTGTGTGTGTGTGTGTTTCTGCAGACACTGAGTGTGTAAACATATGTTCCCATGGGATTTTCTCTCGTGGTTTTAACCTCCCTGAGTACATACAGAGGGACACTGTGAATGACATCACTCTCTTCTACTATGACAGTAATATGGACTCTAAAATGCCCCGTCCTGACTGGATCAACAGTACTGCAGAACAGTGGCACTGGAACCATATAAATCTTTGGACAGAACGCGACAGACTTTTTCTTACCCTGGGATTTGAGTTGGCTATTAATCAGTTCAACAGGACAGGTAATTTGTTTTTTATCTATTTACACTGTGAATGATAATAATGGGTCTCATTCACCAATAGGAGTTTTTTCATAAATTTGTTTGAGAAAGTTCCAATGAAAAAGTCTGTGTGAAATGTCAGATTCATGATGTTCTTAAACTGCAGAATTATTCACACCTTTGTGCTCTTGAGTGTGTGTAGATTCTGTTCTTACCTAAGAACAAATCCCAAATAAGAACACACTGGTGAATCCCAGAATCTTCATGAAAACAGCGTAAGTGGGTACCGTGACTTCAGTTTAATCATTCTGAAATGTACAACATGAGCCTTGCTGGAATGCAGTGGTTGGTGCCTCTCAATTAACCCTTTCCAGCCCAGTGATACCAAATGACATTGTGATTTTCAGTAGTGAGTTTCAAAACTACAGTTCCTAAAACAATTAAAAGAAAAAAAAGACATCTACTCTATATTCCTCTTTAGCAATTAAAGAGCAACATTGGAGCAATTAAATTATTCTCTGGATACAGAGACGCAGCAAGAGACCACCAAAACTGTCCTCATCAGATAAACAGTACTTTTAAACGCTTTTATCTTTGACAGAGAGAAGAAAATCAAGTTCCACTCAAAAGAAGCCCTCACTGAGAAAAGGAAATAGATAAAAAAGAAAAGCTCAAACAAAGTTGCTGCTGTTCTCCGAACAATTGACTGACCACCCCAGAGTCCAGAACTCAACATCACTGAATGTCTTTTAGATTGTTTGGATCATGAGAAGCAGAAAATGCAGCCAATTTCTAAGACTGAACTTTGTTCTCCCAATAACTGGGAATGAGTCAGTAAAAGTAGTGGATAACAAACAGGCCATTAATATTCGCACTTAGGCCTTAAGCAGGAGAAAGTGAAAAACTGCAACATACAAAGTAATAAAAAAGTTCTTTGAATGTCCAACAAACTTAAACGGTCTGTTCTTAAAGCAGAGCTCCCATATGTAGTATAAAACTCAGAGTGGGAAAGTGAATGAACACCATTCTTAGCATTCCAATGCAAAGTGGAGACCTGGCAGAGAAAGATACATAACAAACAGTGTTCAAACCCAAACTGTATTTCTCTCTGTCTGCTACTGTTTTAGGTTCCTTGTCTGACCAAAACGTGTACCAGGCCAGTGGCTGCTGTTACCTCTATCCAAACGGAACCTACAAGACATCCCTAATTCACACATTCAATGGAAAGGACTTCTTAAGCTTTGATATTGACAGAAAGACGTTCGTTGCTTCCGTTCATCAGGCGGTATATTATAAACGTCTGAGAGACGGAGATGAAGTCGATCTACAGGTCGTAACAAATTTCTATAAAACAGTGTGTCTGAATCGAATCAACATCTTCAAGAACGCTCCTAAAGTTCGTCTCAGAAAAGGTAAGATCATTTTTATGGATGTACTCAGTTCTGGATCTCCTCATTGTTCATCTAGAAAAAAACAAAAATGTTTAACCCACTTCATTCTAATGTGATTTAGTAGTTACACTAGTATTAGTTTATAGTGTCTTGCACAGATTTGACTATCCACTGTCCAAGAACCTGGCATGATTGCATACACTATATGGCCAAAAGTATGTGGTTCAGCCACACCCATTGCTAAAATATGCATAAAATCAATCAAGTAGCCATGCACTCTCCATAGACAAACACTGGCAGTAGAATGGGTTATCCTCAAGAACTCAGTAAACATGGCACTGCCATAGGATGCCATCTATGTCCACAAGTCAGTTTGTGAAATTTCTGCCCTGCTATATCTGCCCTGGTCAAATGTAACTGCCTTTATTATGAAATGGAAGCACCTAGGAAGTGAAGGGTAATGTTAATGCTACAGCACACAAAGACATTTTAGACAATTATCTGCTTCCAACTTTTTGGCAACAGTTTGGGGAAGGCCAGGGACGTTAGCTGGGCATGTCAAGATCCAGGGCTCTGCCCAGTTCACTGTAGGATTGTTTTGGAGTGTCCTTTGCCAAATTATGGGGCTGTTTACAAAATATTTGAGGCTATGGCCCCTGAAGCCCAAGCCAGGCAATGCCCCTGGGTTTTAGCATGACTTTGTACAAAGCAAGGTCCATAAAAACATGGTGTGATGAGTTTGGTGTGGATGAATGCCAGTGGTCTGCGAAGAGCCCTGAACACAACCCCCTGAACATGTTTGGGATGTACAGGAACATTGATTGTGAGCGAGGCCTTCTCGTCCTCACAAATGCTGTTTTGACTAAATGGGCACAAATTCCCCCAGAAACACTCTTTCCACTTTTTGTGGAAAGCCATCATAGAAGAGTGGAGGCTGTTATGGTCACAAAGTAAGGATGCAACTCTGTATTAATGTGAATGGTTTTGGAATTTGATGTTCAAGAAACTCATAGAGGTGTGATGGTCGGTGTCCACATTTTGGCCATATAGTTTATGCTCACTAATGTGACAGACATCTAAACCATGAGACCAAAATTCTCACTGTAGATTTATTCTTTTATTTTTTATTCTTATGGAAGATGAAGTAGTTTTAAATTGTGTTCCAGTTCCAGAAGTCAGGATCTTTGAGAAACAGAAGGCCGGCTCCATTACAGTAACATGTCACGTGACGGGGTTTTACCCCCGGGCGGTTCAGGTGGACTGGTTCGGTCCAGATCTGCACCCTGTGGATGGAGGGGTCACTGATGTGCTGCCCAATGAGGACGGCACATACCAGACCAGAAAGAGTGTGACAGTTCCAGAGGAGGATGTAGGAAAACACACCTACAGCTGTGTAGTGCTTCATAGCAGCGTAGCACACAACATCACCACAGTCTGGGGTAGGATGACTCCTGCACATTATTTAAGCTGTTATTTAATCTATCAGTACTAAAGACTTATTTTATTTGCTCTATCAAACCAACACGTGCCTTAAACTTTTCACTATTTTATTACATTGAGCCACGTATTGAACAATAATCTTTAAGTTTAGTGCTGAATGATAATATGAATATCCTTTGTGTAGCTGTGGAGAAACGCAACAGGTTTGCTGTTTGGACTTCTCTGGTCTGCAGTTGCTTGCTGGTTATTGGATTTGGATTCTGCAGGTGCCGTAGATGTGATGGTGAGTTAATGATCAATGTGTTATTATGAATATCAATACTACACCTTAGAGCAGTGGTTCACAGTTCTGGTCCTAGAGCACCACCATCCTGCACATTTTAGAGTTTCCCATGCTCTAATGAACTATTAACAAGCCATTCCTGAGATGAGCTGAGGGTGTTAGAGCAGAGAGAACACTACAGCATACAGGACAGTGGTACTCCAGGACCATTTTTGTTATTTTGTATACAGTAATAACTAACAATACAATACAATAATAATAATAAAATAGCAATGACAATACAATGCAGATTCACTAAAACTAGACAACAAATATTACTTTTAAATATTATATACAATATTTAAAATATTTTGTCAGCAAAAAAGTTATTTGAGGATGTTTTTGTTATCCGCCTTGATCTTTGTGATGGCTGCTTTTGAAATATGAGATATTTTAGATATTTATTTTATTATAATTTTATTCAGTCATTTTAGAATCATCTATATCTCTGTACATCATTCTGGGCATTTGATGGGAGGCTGTGATGTTTCCTGCTCTTCTTTTTCCTTACAAATGTGTTCCCATCTTCCTAGCTTACTTAAGAAATCATTTATATGTCTCACTCACAGCTTTCAGATTTTATATATAAGTTCTTAATTAACTGTATTCATCATGTCAGGTTGAATCAAATTCATTATATTTCCTCGTGTTTTGTGCTGTGTTTATCCTGTAGGTGCTGTGAGCTGAACTGACGCTCTTCAGGAACTCTTTACTGCAGTTTGCTCTGGGACAGAACAGTGGAGCTTACAGCTCTGCCATCTTTCAGTCTTCTCAAGTCTTTCTTTGCATTCATCCTCTCATTCATTTAGCTTGATGTCTGACACCATTTCTGGATCATAGATACAGCAATATGTAAACAAACTGGACAAATAGGAAGACAAACAACTGTGAACTGTTCTTTGTGGAATGAAGTTCAGTAGTTGTGATGCACAGAGTTGGTCTGTCATTAGATGAATATAGAAAAGCAATGACATATTTCCACCAGAGGGGTCTCCAAATCCTCAAAACACACAAAGTGCAGCTTTAAATACACCCTCAAAGACTCCATTGCTAAATATTAAAAAGTGTGGGCCCTTTTCAGCACATCTAGATAAAATAGAGCCCTGGTATCTGTCAGACACCAATTGAGTGCATTTAAAGTGACTTTCTTCTTTTCTTTATATCTTACTCTGTCGCCTCCTGCCTGCAGGCCCTGATCATCCAGTCAGCCACTAGTAGGCACTTTACTAGAGGTACAGTGGTAAAAATGAACTAATCTGCCATTGTCTTATGGCTGATCATAATCCTGATGCTCTCTACATCTATTATCTAATTATGCCCTTCATTTTCTCCTCCAATCACTGCTCAGCAACCTTTACACTATCCACCATTACCTCAGTCAAGTTTTCAGCTTTTTAGCAGTGAGCTAGTGTTCCTTTCAATGTACGTCGAATATGAAGCTCCACGTATTCATTCAGATGTGTTGGGGAGGGGGGGGGGTCTGTAAAAGTGAGGCCTGAGACCTCCACAGAGTAGAGAATGCCCTTTTCCAAAGCCCAAAAAAAAATAAAATGCAAGCACCCAATTTGACTAATTGATTAATTGTTGATCATCCTTGTCTGCAGTGATTTTAAACTGTCATTAGAGGTAAGATATAATTTGAAAAAAAACCCGTCTGCTATGGCAGGATGCTTTAGCTAGGCTGTTTGATGGTCTTTATGCTGAGACAGCTGGAATGTGCATAAAGATGCTTTAAAAGCGAATGCTTTAAAATGAAGTGTTGCAGTGTTTGTTGGGATGGTGTTAAGCTTTGTTCTCATTAATGTGTGATTTATCTTGCTGATGTGTTTTAAATGTGACTGGAACCAAAAATGGGTTCATGAGTTTGTTTTTTATATATACATTTGAACTAGTCAGACTCTTGTGGATAAAAATGAAAGTGTGACCTTAGACACTCCACAACACATGGGGTGAAAACAGTCCACAACACATGGGGCGAAAGAGAAGTCAAACAAATCAGGGTCAGAAGCCAAAACAGTGAATAATAACTCAGCACCAAAAAGGAACGTCCAAAGACAAGGTGCAATAAAACAGTTCAGGTACATACAGGGAGAAAACAGACAGGTAAACAACGCTCAGTACACAGAGGCAATACTTCAAAGTTTTATTTGTCACATACATAGTCATACACGGTACAACTAACAGGGAAATGCTTGGATAACTGCCTGCTCACATGAAGCAATAAGGTAATAAATAAAGAAGAATGTATGGAATGAGGAAAGTGAGGATTCCTTCACCAAGACCAAGCATGACAAACAGGTATTTATACAGAGACAGGAAACGAGGAACAGATGTAAACAGGAATCAGGTAATTTTGAGTGAGGAAGTGGATTGTGATTGGTGGAGGCAGTATGTGTACGCGCTATGTGATCTCCTGTAGGATGCTGGGAAATGTAGTTCATGGACTGGACAGAGCTGGTCGGTGTCGACAGGAATTCATACAGAACAATGAGCCATAAACATTTTCATTCAACTTTGCTCATTCCATAAAACTGAAATCTACCTAAAAGTTCATAAACACATGTTCACAACA